AACTATTTTTAACCTGATATTTGATGTTCAAATTAGGAATTGACTGACCCGTTACTTGATGAAAATTAATAACATTTCAGGTGTTTGCAAACTAATACGCGGAACATGCCCATAAGTGTATAAAGGCAGGACTTCAAAAAAATTTAAAACGAGAATCCCCGAACATAAAAGAAGTTTTGAAGTGTAGAAGACCAACTGCACTTATGTGTGTCATCTTTTGGAGAACGATCACAATTTCAACATTATGTACGACATACTCCATGTAGAGGGTAAGGGACAGAAGTTGAATCTTCTGGAGTGTCTAAAAATAAATAGGGGTAAACGATTAGGTTCACTAATCACCATTGAACCTTTTTCCATAATGCCAATAATTTTATTCGTATTCTCTTCAAGAACTGAAATTGCCAGTGTTTTACAAATTTTACCTCTGCTGTCCAATAACTACTGATATTGTACTTCGTTCACAAATGTTAGGGTAAGTCCGGGGTAGATGGCCCTATGGGAAAGATGGCCTATCGAAATATTTCAAGGACTCGTTCATAGATGTCACTGTTCAGCGTTTAGTTCACTCGCGTTGTGCGTGAGAGCAACGGTACGGCAAAACATTTGGCGAAAAAAAGTTAGTAGAACCTTTTTTGTTTCAACTACTGTGAATATTTTCTTGGTGTCAATTGTTTTACACAATTATGTTGTCAGTTTCTTAAAACAATGGTGATATTTGTTTTTGTTGCAAAGAATACGAACAAAACTACCTTGTAACCTCAAAATTATTCGTTTAGTGTCATGACTTGTTAGAGTTTTCGTTGTGGCCAACTCTCCCGGAAAAAAGGAGAGATGGCCAATTGCAGTCGGTATATGAAGGCCATAGTGTCTTGGTGCAGAAATTATGTTTTATGCAAATAATTGATTTATTGTAATATTTGTTTTTAATGCAGTAGCTGTGAGAGGACACTGGTCGGAAAAATCACTAAGAGCAGATATTGATGCCGTGGAAAATGATTAATTATCCGTACGCGCGGAAGGTATCCAGTACCAAATACCTAGAAAAGCATTATAAACAAGAATAGAGAAAAATAATGACAAGAAAGGACCTATGAGACCACCTACTTCAGTTGGAGAAGAGAACGAGGAGATATTGGTTACTCGTGTTGAAACAATGCAAGCTGAAGGCTTTCCTTTAACGATGGATGGCGTGAGGAAAATAGCTCACGATATAGTCAAACAGTTGAAATTGAAGGATAGGTTCAACAAAGAAAATCAGAAAGCAGGATATGACTGGTTGCAAATGTTTTTGAGCAGAAATTCTGATAATATACTAATGAAGTCAGAAGGAGTTTCTATGGCTAGAGTCAACGCCATGAATAGATCAGGAGTTAATGCATATTTTCAACTGCTTAAAAGCATCCTTAACCTGGATGGATCTGGTCTACAGTTGAACAGTCATCGGGAACACGTGCTTGTTGAAAAAGGTTCTAAAGCGATTTCCACAGTAACCTCAACTGAAAAGGGGGGAAGCAATAACCATTAGGTATAGCTTGCTGCAATGCGGAAGGTACGTTCTTGCCACCTGAAAGGAGTTTGAAGACGGGATGCCTCCAGGATCAAACTTATTCATGTCTCAAAAATCAGCGTACATAACAACAGAAATATTTTCAGAATGGTTGTCAACACGCTTTGTTCCAAGGAAACCTGCCGGAACAGTTGTTCTCCTGTTAGACAGATACTCATCTCATGGCAATTCTGTGAAAATCTTGGAATATGCCAATCAGAATGACATAATTTTGATATCAATGCCCAGTCACCCGTCTTATCTCCAGCCCTTAGATCGCTGTGTTTTTAAATCATTGAAATATTGAACAGTGTAGACTTCGGCTAATCCAAAACTCAGGACGTCAAATATCAAGGCTATCTTTCGGGGCATTACTGAGGATGGCTTGGGGACAAATATCATCGTCGGAAAATGTATTTACTGGATTTAAAGCAACTCGAGTGTTTCCCCTCAACCTAGAAGCGATGCCAGATTATGCCTTCATTCAAGAATCTACAAGTGACTCTGTTACCCAAGTGTTTCCAAACTGTATATCTGCTGTGGACAACGAAAAGGAACCTATACCAGGTTGTTTTTATGAAACAAGAAGTGATATAAACTATAGCCCCCACATTGTTT